CACAGAAAAAACTTGGACCAAGGCAGACGGACGACCCGGAATCGAACCCGCGTCCTTCCGAATGCTAAACGTCTAAGCCATGTCGTTCAGTCTCAGACGTAGTGTCAACTGGAGATGCACCGATTTGTGGTTTGACCTCGTACCGGATAGTTGTGTACCCAGCATTAGTTTTGCCAGATATCCGACCGCATATTTTGTAGGCGGCAGAGACATCACTGTAAAAAAATACCAATTGGATTTTAGTGTAAAATGATTGATATTATTAACAAATACAATTGGTGTATTACTTATTTTAAATTTAAATAGGTACTTACGCTGTGTTTAAAAGTTTAAAATATTATTAGTGGTCATTTCCTAAAATAAGTGCCGGATCCGAAGTGTCAATCTTAGTTTAGTTTTTGTTAATACGCGTGCGATTTTGGGACCACTTTTCTAGCAAGATTGCAAGTCCAAGATTAATACCTAATTTATTTAGAAGATCTTTATTTGGTTTAGTTTTGCAGTCTTGAGAGTGGTTAGACACGCACCTCCACGCTTTCCTATCCTGAGCTAATCTTCGCATTTCCCTAAAACTAGAACATTCTACATCCTTAACTATTTGCGAACAGTAATCTAATCTAGGCCTACCTCTACTCCTCTTAACTCCCGTTTCTGACTCTTATATGTCTCTGACTAGACTTTCATACCTGAGAAGGTCTGCTACCAACCTGTAAAAGTATATCATAGTGAGGAATCTTCATGAGAATTTGGAAATATTATAGAAAGTAAAGAATCATGAAAGACATTATAAAACATTCCAGAATTTTGAAAATTCTGGAATATTCGAGATGTTTATCGAAAGTTTTATAATATTATTAAACAGAAACGTCAAGATACGGTACAAGGCTGACGCAGTTTTTGCTGAAAGATTGATCTACATATTCATTGAAGATCAATTAGTTAGTAACTGATTACTTGTCTGGCATTCCTCTATGTTACTGTAGAATGATATTCATACATTTTGTTAAACAGTATGGTTGGACACGTACCTCCACTCTTTCCTAGCCTGAGCTAATCTTCGCATTTCCATAAAACTAGAACATCCTACATCCTTAACTATTTGCGAGCAGTAATCTAATCTAAGTCTACCTCTATCCCTCCTAACTCCCGTTTATACCTCAAATATGTCTCTAACCAGACCTTCATGCCTGAGTAGGTCTCCTACCAACCTATCTCGCCTATTTCTTTTTGACATCCATAGAGTTCTCTGTTCTCCTATTCTTTCTAATACCTCTTCATTTCTAACCTTCTCTATCCACGGTATCCTCATCATTCGCCTGTAACACCACATTTCGTATGCTTCTAACCTTTTCTTTTCCGCCGCGCCCACCGTCCACGTTTCGTACCCGTACAGCACCGCGCTACAAACATACACCTTTTTCAAATTTCTAAATTAATTGTTCTCGATCATAGTTTTGCACATGCAAGTTTCAAAAACATACAGTCATAGTAATTTTCTCGTTTTCGTTATATGAGTTTGCTCAATCAAACGATTCAGTTACTTCGTTTTACCACGATCCAACCACTCAGGGCTAAAACCAAAAATAAACTAAATTCGAAAAACAAAGATCAGGTCTTCTAGAATAACAAAACCAGGATCAAGACCAAATATACTTATCAGTATTGGTATTGATAAGCAAGTGACTGAATGTGACAAAACATCCGGATAAAAAGTATAAAATTTACTTAGTTCTCCTTAGATTCAATATCTTAAAAACTAAGCTACAGTTTGGTACTCAACCGTTGAATGTTATGTTACTTTCGAAGTTTCTATTTCCAGATACATTAATTGGAGATATGGAAGAACATCTTGTGGATATAGGCGTGGGCTACGTGTTGGAAATGAGACCATCACCTTTAATAGAACATACATTTCTTACCATGTATAGGCACAATTATTGGCTTTTGCCTAAACGACGATCCATTCTATCACTGTATTTGATCTATCGCGATTTGGGTGTAATGGTTTGGTTATTTGCTCTCTTTATTTTCGTTATTATTTTACTCGCTCTCAGATGCTACATAAAACCACGCATATATGAAATGATATCGAAATGGCCTTTTATGTTTCTCGCCGTTTTGTTCGCAATCGGTACAGGACATTTTCGTAATAAATTGATATCGTTTAAACTTCTGATGATGCTTGGAACAATGCTCGGTCTTCATGTTTCTGTGGGATTTTACAGTTTCACGAGCAGCCTAATGACAAATCCTCCGTTAGAACGGAAAATTACAAATTTTCGTGATTTAGCTAACAGCCGATTACAATTAAGGACATACAAACCTATCCTTACTGGGTTAGCTATAGAATTTGACAAAAACTTGACGAACTTGATTTTAAGTAAATGGATGCCTCCAAAATATGAAGTTGGCATTAATGAAACTAGAGATTTTGTCAACAGTATAGATTATGCTGTTTTGTCCTCAGAACATTTCAAGAAGGTGATAAGGAACTACAAAAATGTGGATAAGGTTTCTTCTGAGGTAAATCCTTTTATGCATTTCCAGCTTTAATAATTTTTTAACAGACATTAGAGTTAATGAGAGCAAGACCTATACTGCCTTTTGTTAGTTTAATTTTTTTGTTCCAAATCCAGAATATCCTATTATTACCTAACTCAGCTCCACAAAACAGAAATAGGTGCGGAGTTTTTGGGAAATGTAAACTGGATACAATAATCGTAATTATCGTGTTAATTATCAGCTTATTGAATACGACGTTGCATTGTCGTATTTCTTTACCAGGATTAAAATTGAATTTACCTGTTTTTCTCGAAAACGATGAACTTTCGGAAATAAAAATATTTACATAATTTTCTCATTTTATAGTGCCCTATCATATCCTGCATACTTCGCACTTATTTTTGTTACACCCTGTATACCAAGTTATTGAAATTTGAACACTTATGTTAAAGGAATGCAACTGCAATTATAAAGAAATCCCTCTGTTGTGTTACATGGGGTAACTTCCTTAAATTAATGTGCTTAATAGTTATATAAACGTTATAGCCATATAATGGATTTATGGAAGTTTTCGTTGTAAGAAGCGGCTTTCCCCTGTTGTATCGAATTAATGAAATTCTGTCCAGAATATTCCAGGCTGGATTGGTTGATAAATGGATATATAAGGAAATGTCTCTGTATCCTAAAGTAGAAGTTCCAACGGAATCACATTACGCGGCTGTTCCATTAACACTAGCAAAAATGTCGACTGCTTTTCTAGTATTAGGAGTTGGATTGCTCTTGTCTACAATTACTTTTATAATCGAAATTATTTTACATAAAAAATACAAAATAAAAGCACAAAAACGTCATCAGGCGCTAGTACAGTTACTTAAATAAACGGCTAAACTGTAATCGTGTGTAGTAGTTAAATGAATATTGTTTGTATGAAACGATTTAGCATTTAATGGTGGTTAATATCAAATATTAATGTGAAAATTCATTTTTAATTTTTACCCACTATAAAATACTTCAGATTAAGGAGGAAAAATTTGTTGCTGTTGTCACACCCTCGCCCGGAATCGAACTCAAGATCCTTGGCCTTGATGCGTAAAGCCAAAGGTCCCGGGTTCGATTCCCGGCGAGGGTGTGACAACAGCAACAAATTTTTCTCATTAACTTATTGTAGTTTATAATAAAATTGAAAATGAATTTTCACATTAATATTTGAATATTGTTTGTTTGCATAATGAAGAAAGAAGAAGACCTTTTTTAATTTTTCGAACAGAAACTTCATAAAAAAAAAATAATTGTGTATGTGGTCTCGATATCGCCCAAAATCTCTCTCTCGACTGAAGCCCGAATTCAGATGAATATAAAAATTGTTTGCAAAAGTGAAGAGTGGAGATTTTGAAGGCAATTGATGTTTTCAAGTTATTAATTTATTAAAATTAGCTTAGTAACTTTTTGAATAATGTTTTATATAGCATTTATATAGCAAATAATGGAAACTGTGCACTTTTAACTAAAAATCAACCTCATTATAAGTATACATATGTGGCTAAAAGAAAAATTCGAATGTAATATAGTAATAAGTAATAAAAATTATGTAAATAAACTAAAATTATCTTTTGCATCTTTTTAGTTGGAGTATAACAATGTTCCCGTTGTTAACAATTTCCTGCAAAAATGCCATATTTTCTTGCATATATACCTATGGATAGAAGCAATGATTTTTTATTGTATTAATACACCAGAGAACCCAAAAATTAGATATTTTTATTGAAAATTGGAAAAAACCAAATATTTTGATATTATAGACTCCAAGTAAAATATGCCATAAGTAATTTTTATTTATTTATTTATTAATTTTAAGGAAATTAATTCATTTCTTTTATTGTTTTAGCCGTATAATTTTGCTTAACATACACTCTAATAGTACTTGAATAAATTATCAAATTTATGTAATACACTACAATATTGAAATGTCTTGCATAGAATAAAGTTGTGGTAGTTAAATCTGAAAAGCAATTTTATTTAAATACAATCTATAAGTACGTCATTATAGATTTTTCATTAATTTTAAATACATCAGACTGTTGCTTACCACTTTATTTAGTAGCAAGTGAAGCGAGTAGTAAACTTGCAGTCGTCTATAAGTAAGGGAATATGATGGTAAATGTAGTTATTGTTTTAACTTTTCTGATAAATTATGCAATTTACATTAATGCAGAAGAAAGTATTATATTTAAAAGATTTACTGTTCCTTCCGCTGAATCAAACTCGGAGAATAATGTAAGAACGGTTAGTGATTTTATTAATAAACACCTGAACGAAAAGTTTACTTTCATAACGTATACTGAACTCAGTCCATTCGGTCAAAAAATTCTCATGAAAGTCAATATTTCACAAAAACTTGTTTGCATAAAAAATAACGACAAAAATGTTAATTCTAATTCTAATGATATTGGATCTAATGCTAATATAAAAAACAGTAATTATATGTACGACTATTTAATATTCCCCAATAATTTCATGGATTTGTTGTTTATAATGAAATTCATTATGAAATCGCCAACATGGAATCCTACTAACAGATTTCTAATCATTTTCGAGTGCTCGTTAGGTACGTATCTGCTAATAATTTTAAGCAAATTATTTATTTATAGTTTTCATCTACTCAATATTGAACAGTTTATTGTAATCACTAGGTATCTATTTTTCTTCATAATTTATTGTAGCTTTTCTTTTTAAGATGATAACGAAATTTTAGAGGCGTATGATATATTAAGAAGGAAACACATTTACAAATGCCTTTTCATACGATTGTGTGACGGGTTTTTACTGGGATACTCATGGAACTTCAAGAAATCTACAAGTCGATGTGAAAATTTGATTAGTTTGACTCCATTCAATATTAGCGTAGAAAAAGTAGATGATTACTTTATTTCTAAAATTCCGAAGGAAACTGAAATTTGTTCTATCAATATTTCACCTGCTAGAGAACCTTCAAGTGAATCAATTCGGTCTGTTCAAGAAGCTATTGCAAATTTACTTGGACTGAAGTTGATACAAAACAAACTAAAGAAGGTCTACGGAGATGAATTGTTCTTTAACGATTCAGTTGGTATGTTCATTACTTATTATTACTTTATGTTTCTCTGCTATTTGCGAAGATTTCGATAGTTAAACTTCAATTTTAGAAAATACTACAAATGGCGCAGTAAACGCCATCTGTAGCACGATGTTACATTTTAGGATTACGTATGCTCCAACAAGGTCCACTTGTGTGGATATCTACTTGCTGAAAACGAATCCCGGCGTAGCCAAACTCAACGTGATAGGCACGTTAGCTTAATCGAATAAAATAATTTGAAGTGGACTATATTCTGTCGAAACTGCCAGACGCGGATCGCGATTTCGATCTTTTTAGATCTCATCAGCGCGTCGCAGGCTTTCGATTAAGCTAACGTGCATATCACGTTGAGGTTGGCTACGAAATCGCGATCCGCGTCTGGCAGTTTCGACAGAATACAGACCACTTCGTATTATTTTAAACTTCAATTTGCTGGTCCCTATTAGAAATGGGGTGGGTATCCGGTTTGGTAGTGAGAAAGATTCCAGCATTTGTTGTTAGATACTGCCGGGTATCTAGCAGTGCCGACTATAAGTCAACAGAAAGGAAAAAAACTAAAAGTAACCGCGATAAAAGTAATAACTATAATTACCGAAACCCAACACTTTTAATTATTGAGAATACGGAAAAATAGCGTTAGATCAATTTAACAATGTTTTAGTTGGAAAGGAAATTTTTGTAGTTTTTAGTATGGGATTTAACAACTAAATTTATGCAATTTTAAAGGATATTACCCTTATATGTATATGTATATGTATATGTATGCGAAAATGAATTCATTGATTTTCGGTGGATCCATTTGCCTACAGGCATACTAGGCAGCCTAAGTGAGCTTTTGCATCTTTTCAACACTGTCTACTGCTTGCGGAAATAGAAAACAACGTAATCTTGGGCTTGGACGTTGTTCAGAAATATGACTTTTGTCTGAGCTTCCAGAGAAAAATTTTGACATTGAATGGGAAGACGTTCAAGTTCTATTTGCAAGATATAGCTGTTCCACAAGTTAAAAAGGTGAGCCAGCCAACAGGTAAAATCCAACGGGTTCCAGAAGATTTGTTGGGAATGTTCGAGAAAGCTAGAGAAAAGGGTAAACCAACTGAACAATGATAATTAATGGAATTATTCGAACAATACCAAGATGTGTTGGAATTAGTAAATGACAAGAAGGGGCGAGCGTACAAAATTAACACAGGAAGAGCGCAATCTATCTGGCAGAGATTGAGGAGACTACCCCTGATCAAGAAAGAAGAAGTCGAGAATGCCACAAGGGAAATACAAAAAGATGGAGTAATAGAACCATGGACCAGCCCTCAGACCGCGTCGGTAACTTTGGTCAAAAAGAAGGATGGGCTAACACGTTTTTGCCAGGACTACCGTGAACTGAACAATGTGACGAAGAAAGAAACGACGATATCTTAGACACACTTGCTGGGTCAATGATATTTTCAACGCTAGACCTCAAAAGTGGCTATTCGCAAGTGGATTTGGATTCTGCAATCAACGGGAAGACAGCATTCTCTATCGGTACGGGATTGTGGCAATTTAAAGTGATACTGAATATTGAGCTTGAAGAAATACCAGCTGTGTCAAGAATCAGTCAACTAACTGCGGCATATAGTTTAGAAAACTACTAATTTTCCATTCTTTCGTTTAAAGTTTCGTTTTTCTACTTAAACTTAGCATAAACTGGTTATAATAGGCATTCAGACGAATTTGCAAAAGTATTGGCCCAGAATCAGTTGGTGCAGTCTCATCAAGCAAGACATTACAAATGGGCTACTTCAGAGCTATACAGGGACTAAAAAAACAACCAGGATGCAGGCAGATGAAGGGTATCGTCTGAAACTGAAGAGACTGCTCGGGAAAATAAATTCACAGTCTCGACAAAAAGAAAACTAGGACTCTTGCAGAAATTTTTACAGTTAACGAAGAAGTGTGATAGCAAGGGATTACCATGCTTTCGGAGATCTAACCAAGCCCAAATCTAAAATATTAATAATACTAAACTATTCTGAAATAATCTTGCCGCCATTTTTTCACACAATATATATGTTTATTGTCTGAATACTGTCAATACTGAACTAAAACTAATTCTTTTTAGGTTCAATTATAAATGACCTGAACAACCATATGTTGGACATAGGTGTGATAACATGTGAACACGGAATTAAGAGAGAATTAGTAGAGAAAACAGTTTTCTACTATTTCGCGGAAAACATTTGGTTGTTTCCACGTCGAAAAATATTGAAAGAGTGGAACATATTTTTTCCAATACGTTACATCTCTTACTTTTGCCTCAGTATAATCACAATTATAATTGTTTTGGTTCCCCTATTGACCCTACACTCAAGATTCCTAAATGATGCAATTGAAATGTCATTACTTAATCGAACAATATTTGCCTTTTCATTATTGACGACTGCTTCTGGTAAATTACTGAGTAAATCAATCTCTCTTAGACTCTTGATGTTCATCGCAATAATTCATGGATTTTATCTGAACCTTGTGTACACATCCCTTATAAGCAGCATTGTCACTAATCCTCCCAGGGAGGCTAAAATTCGAACGTTTGAAGATTTTCTTAAAAGTCATTACCAAATGAATTTTTATGAAGGTTTATTTGGACATCTTGAACAAAAGGGTTTCAAAGGTCTACAAGAAGCTATGAAACAAAAGTGGATAAAGCCTTCAAGTGACGCCTTTTATAGTGAAGTAGTGAACGTCATTAAAAGTCAAAAATATGGAATCGTCGTTAATAGCAGAGCAACCAAAGTTATAACAAATTACAATGAAGGAGAAAAATTAAAACTTTTCGTAAGTTGATGTGTTCATTAGAAATATTATATATTTATTGGTCATCGTCTAGAAACTTTTTTTCGACGTTTCGCCGAAATGAGTAGTTGGTTCTTTTAAGTAGTCTACATTAAATATCAGAGCAGAACTCTTGTAAGTACCAATCACTCGTGTCAGTGAAACGTTGAATGAGGAAATTTCTAATGCTATAGCCAATAAGTCCGGAAACCAGTAGTACTTTGGACAACGCCCGCGAAAGCTTAAAGGCTCTTTTCATCTACAGAATGTAGATTTGCTGCGAAAAATTAGCTGACATGATAATGAATTGTACTGTCTTTTGTGTTTATTCGAACATTTTTTTATAATTCGACCAGCATGACCTACCTATGTACACATATATGTACCTAATTGTTCGAGGTGTTCCATTTTAAATGCAACTTATTCAAAAATAATCTCTACACATATTACTGTGTTCGGAAGGGGAGAAGAATAGTGATCTACAATTTGATCTTGAACTTCATCTGCAAGGTCAAGTTATTCTCTATTAAAATTACTTCTTTCTGTATCCGGACATAAAATTTTACGCTCTCTCCGAATTCGGGACCGAAAATAAGAATTTTTATTCAATTATTTAAAATCGGGCATATTGAATATTAAATCACAGTTGTTGCAATCTAATCCGTACGGATATTTCAATTTTTTTAGTAACCTATCCACTGTGCCTATGCTTTTGATTAAAAAATCGCAATTCCTAAAATCAGTGTGATTTGTAGCATGACTTTTACTACGAATGCTTCTTGGTCAGAAAAGGATTTCCGTATTTGGATAAAATCAATGAAATACTAATGTGGACGTTTGAAGCGGGCATTTTTGGAAAATGGCTTAACATGGATATGGCAACTTTGCCACACGTTGCTATACCTTCTGCTACATATGAAGCGACAAAACTAAAATTACAAGATTTTACAGGAGCTTTTATAATTTTAGGAGTTGGAATTGTTATTTCTGTAGGAATCTTTATAGCAGAAATAATAATAATGTATGTGGTTAAACGTTAAATATTAATTTATAATAAAATTGGCACTCTTGTTTGCTATCAGCACCAAAACTATAATCTTTAAAAATATGAACGTTAATGGACACNTTAGGAGTTGGAATTGTTATTTCTGTAGGAATCTTTATAGCAGAAATAATAATAATGTATGTGGTTAAACGTTAAATATTAATTTATAATAAAATTGGCACTCTTGTTTGCTATCAGCACCAAAACTATAATCTTTAAAAATATGAACGTTAATGGACACATTTGAATAAAATCGATCATAAAATATTGTAATGGTGTCCATCATCACTAACGAGTGATGTTTGTGATTTATTTTTAATAGTTGTTCTGCTAGCGCTACACGTCTTTTAGAACATAGTATGTATTTAATAAAATAAATGGATTTAACTATTACTGCATTCTTATTCCATAAAAAGTAAGATAAATTTTAACACCGTTAGTAAATTTATTATCTATTGCAGTGTTTCCCAACCTTTTTTTCTCGCGAACCAAAAGAAAGGTCTGAAAAAATTTGACGAACCCCCTATGTAGTCGTTGACAGGTAAAAAAAGCAATAACATTTGATAGAATTTATATATTTTTCATATTGCAGAATAATTGATTATATTAATCGTGAAACATTTAAAGGGAAAACTACTGCAATGATTTTAAATATAAAGCAGAACATGATACTAATCACATTGATAAAATGTTTTAAATATAAATAAATGTTTGTAATAAAAAGAGAATAAATAGTATTTGATTACTTGAATAAGAGGAATAAATTTTAATGTATAAAATTGTTGATATAATTTGATATTGATGAAGTAATTTTGAAAAACAAATAAGGAAAAAAGAAATGAAAATATTGAAATTTATTTTAAATTTCTTAACATACAGGCATTTTATTGCCGTTTAAAAAAATCCGCCATTACGTTATTTTTCAAATTTAATTTATCGAATAATGGGATGACAGTCTTCACAAAAGGAGGATTTTGCGATGAAGTTATCATTGCGACGTAATTGGAAATTGTACTGAATTCATTTCTATTTTATTCATTCCTGTCAATCATATTGTTTAACAACTTTCGTAACTATTACTTTTCTCTAGCGGACTATATAATGCTATAATATTGTGTTTAATTGACAAAATGATTGTAAATTGGATAAATTCGACAAGTTTTACTCGTGGACATGCTGTTAAAGGCTTTATCAATTTAAAATTCTCATTCTGTAATATTATGTTGTCTAAATTGCGCATAATATTATATTAACAAGACGATTGTAATTAGAGCTAGGTCAGTAATTTATTCGAAGAAAATTTTGCTGTCCTGCTTAATAAGAGGAAAATGTATAAACAACAGCTATAGTCACTGCCCGTAGGAAAAATTTCCATTCTATTTCCATTAAAAAAATGCCATTTAATTACCACTGATAATAATTAATGGTAATAAATGGAGAATTGCCAATGGGATGAATGGAATTTCCATTAGAANCTGCCTGATCAGGCTCATGGCATCCCGTAGGGAAAATTTCCATTCTATTTCCATTAAAAAAATGCCATTTAATTACCACTGATAATAATTAATGGTAATAAATGGAGAATTGCCAATGGGATGAATGGAATTTCCATTAGAATTCTAGTGGAAATCCCATTCTCGAACTCAATGGGATTTCCGTCGCTGAACGCAATGGGATTTCCGTTGCGTTCCATTCCTGAACTCAATGGAAATCCTTATATTTATATTGAATGGTTTTAAACAGAATTTATAAAATTTGCATCGGTTCCCATTGAAAATGTAAATATTAATGGAATTATTGTAAATGGAAACAATTATTTTTCCATTTATACCAAATGGGTTTGAATGGAATTTACAAATTTTCCATTGACTCCTATTGAAGTTAAATGGAAATTTTTTACTACGGGTGACTATCTATTCGAGAAATTAAGGCAACACTTTTCTATTAGTTGTTTGCTTCAGGTTTAACACAAGAAAATCGAATGTTTATGATGAAAATTTCTCACATTTTGTGAGCGTGCGCATAAGTTTATTAGTGATGTACGTAATCTTTTGCTAATTTACATGCAAGAATCAGGTCTATTCCAAACATTCCAAAAAATGGCGATTTTTCAGCTAATTTGCCTGGATTATATAAAGCAAGAGTCGTGGATGTCCCTGTAGATCAAGTGGAGTTAGTTCAGACATCCGGCTGGATGATTTGTGAATGTTTTCTTGCTGACTAGGCATTTCGCCAATTAAACAAATTAAAATTAAGCAAAACAGTCACAGATGATCCAATATTACAGTTAGTGCATGGATTAACATTAACAGCTCAGATATTTCTCTTCCTGCAATAAATTTTTGCGGGGCAAATTGCATCGATTTGAACGGCTTCTCGCCGTATACGACACATCGATTGCAACTAGGGTTTATACAAAAACCGACATTTTATAAAACCGGTTTTAGAATAGTAATTTTTCCAGAAAACCGGTTTCGAATTTTTATAAAAAAATTTT